AAAAAATTTTTTTAAATAAAAAATCCCCCAATAATTTTTTTGGGGGTTTTTTGGTGTTTTTTTTTTTTTTTTTTTTTTTTTTTTAAGGTTTGACCTCTCATTACAGATTTTAGCCGAGTTTCATTTCCCATCGAAAAACTATGATAATCTGCATTAAAATATTTTTCCTTGATTTTCTTACATTAGGAGTTTGTGTGAGAACAGTTGCCGTAAAACATAGTTTTTAATAGCTTAAAAACAAGATTACACAATAATGATGTGAGTGAGGTACAGTTGATTTATGTAAAATCAGCTTTTTAAAAAAACAAAAAACGATTGGACATTTAAGCCTCTGGTCACCGGTCACATCGATTAGTGGAGCTTGGCCGAAATGAGTGCTGTGATGCAGCGTTTTAATTTTGGATTGTAATTCAAATAAAAATGGCTGATTCTCTGCAAAGAACCGCTCCAGTTGAAGGAAATACTTTGAAGGCGTAGCTTTGACGGAGCTGAACATCCAGTGACCGATGATTAACTCTCATTCCCCGTTCACAGTTCTATTGTGTCCACACTCCTGGCCTTAATGGACGGCCTGGACAGTCGCGGGGAGATAGTCGTCGTTGGTGCTACAAACAGACTCGACTCTATCGACCCAGCACTCAGGAGGCCTGGACGCTTTGACCGGGAGTTTCTCTTCAACTTGCCAGACAAGAAGGTAAGGCTGCAGCAAAAAAAAAAAAACAAAAACTTTGGATGCTGTCAAATGATGATTGCACTTTTATTTGTACTTGGATGTTTTCTCAAATGGGGGAGGAAGCACACAAGATGTGTAATTCAGCATTTCACAGTCTTCATTCGGCCTCTGCAGTTTCTTGGAATTTATGATTCAGCTACAAAGCGATAGACAAAAAAAGAAGATTGTTCTTGTAATTATTTTGAGGTGTTCCAAATTGCCTTCATGCCGTTAGATTTTGGCAAATGATGCGTGCTTGTACCCCTGTTTTGAAAAGTCAACAAGTATGAAATTGGCAGAAAAAGGAGAGGACAAGTCTGTTAATTTTTGTGTGGGAACAGAAATGTCTTAAAATGTATTTTAATTTCTTCAGTAAATTTGTTTCAATTTTGTGATTTTATCACATTTTCTCATTTATATCTCTTCTTTTGTTCTTGTTCCTGAGATTGTTAGACATTTTATTGCTAATTTTATTTGTTTACATATTTTTTTTATACATATTAGCCCTTTAAAGTGAACATTTTTCTTACCCTACTCATTGAACTTTACTTTAATGCATTCATTTAAACTAAAGGTTTTACAAGTATTGATAAGAAAAATGTTGATTTTTACAACAGTTCACATTTCAAGTTCAAATGTGATCATTTAAACAATGCCGATTTCAAAATGAGCCAAAATAATACTAATTTCATGTATACGTTTGCCATCTTCCTCTCTGTTTTCATATAACTTGTTGATAACTGAGCTCACTTGATGTTTTCCGTCTGGTTCCATTTCACCCTGTCGGGACGAAACTTGCTAAAAAATATTTTCTGCTGGTTTGAGAATCACTGGAGTAGATATTTCTAAAATTCAAAAACGTAACTCTTTCTCTAGTTTGGGGTTATTTTGACTTTAAACCGTGTCATGCCTCCCCAAATGTTATGTTTGATGCTGCTGTGCATTTGTCAGTCATTAGATGTTTTAATTTTTAACATTAAGATGGATTTGCTTTGCTGTATTTAATCACTGCTGCTGTTTTTTTTTTTTCTGACTTAAGGCCAGAAAGCAGATTCTGGAGATTCATACGCGGGACTGGGACCCCAAACTGTCTGAGCCATTTCTGAATGAACTTGCAGAAAAATGTGTCGGTAAGAGTCACGCAAAAACACGAAGCGGTGTGTCATCTGCCGATGCCAATATAAAAACGCCCAGGGTTAAGACGGAGATCTGCAGAGCGCATTATAGAATTTCATCAAACTGACGCTGGAGCAGTCAGGGGGTATAATCAAGCCAAAATACGAGAGGGAGAGGGAATAATTGACTGTTTATGCGCCTTTTCTTCCAGGCTACTGTGGTGCTGACATCAAAGCACTTTGCACAGAGGCAGCCTTGATGGCGTTGCGCCGCCGATACCCGCAGATCTACGGCAGCAGTGTCAAACTGAAGCTGGACGTGGCGTCCATCGTCCTGGGGCCCGGCGACTTCAGCAAGGCGATGAGGACGATCGTCCCGGCCTCCCAGAGAGCCCTGGCTGCCCCGGGCCGGGCCCTTTCTCCCACCCTCAGGCCCCTGTTGGGCTGCTCCTTCTCCTCGGTGCTGACAACTCTTCTCAGAGTCTTCCCCCACGCTCAGTGTACTGACAGGGACAACCTGCACGGTAAGAACGGGCCAGATTTTTTTGCCGCTGCGCTCCTCCTCCTCCTCCTTCTCCTCCTCCTGAAGCACCTCGGTTTTCTCCCGCCGCCCATCTCAGTCGTCGGTTGGGTTTCCCGTCGGCGTGTTGTTGGATTTGATTATCTCCGTTTTCCCAACCTTATTACCACAGCTCTTTGTATCGCCCTCCCACTCTGATCATATTGTGCGCGCGTTCGCCTCACTTCCCTCTAAAGGTGGTGCCGTGGAGACCGAAAACCTCATCATTGTGTGAGCACAGTAACTCTCAACCCCCAAGCCCCCTACCCCCCGCCCCACGTCCACAAAGGGGCATTTGCAGCAGATTAGGCTTAATGGAAAACTTCACCAGTTGGGAGTCGTTTCTTCAGGAAGTTGAACTTGTTGCACCAAAATATGGCTACGGCTGAAACTGCTGATTATTTTCGTCATCAATTATTCAGACAATGAATCGATTGTCGGATGAAAAAAAATTGGCACATTCTTCCTATTTTTCATTTAATCCTTTTTTTTTTAATACAATATAAGAAATGCAATAAAAAATAAAAATGAACAAATAATTCAATCATTTAGTAACAGGTACAAGCACTGCTTTGTTCCTACAGCAGTTTGTCTTTTTAATGTCGGGACTCGCATCTGATTGTTGGCATATTTCTGTTCCATACATCACTGATATCAGCTGACTGTACTCATCGCATTATGTGTTGATTTATATTTGATGCATTTTTTTGGAATGTTTTATTGTTTTTTTTTTTATTATTTTTTAACTTTTGACACTTTGTCTTTTAGTTGTTGTACTTGCTGTAACATTAATTGCTCATTTTGAACATGAATGAATCTTAATCTGAATTTTTTTTACGTGAGAAAGTGAGCATTTTATTGCCTAAAATTAATTAATTAATTAATGAGCTGGGTGGAGCTTAAACATATTTACAGACAAAGATGTTTTTATCTTAGATGCATTAATCATTTACTTAATTAGTTGACGATTTCAATAATCGATTAATCCAGTTAATCCCTTCTGCCCTAAAAGTGGCACAAATGCCTTGCATAGCGTTTGCTTTTCGACGATGTTTGCTTTTGTTCATGTCAAAGTTAGAGCATCTCTAATAAAAAGCGCTTGTAGAAGCAAACATGTGGCTTATAAAAGCGTGTTTCCTGCACACAAACGGTTCTTTAAGCGGTGTTCTCCTCTATGACAGCCGGCGACAATCAACTGCTTGAAGAGGACTTTTACAGCGACGACGACAATGAGGATGGCTCCGCCTCCATTTACGAAGTTCCGCCTTCTGCATCCCCAAAGAGTCACCTCTTCTCTTCTGCAATGCACAGACCCTTTCTCCACTTCTCCTCGTGAGTTTGACGTGTTCATCGTTTGAGTCTCCCACTTTATGTGAAAAAGACATGAAGTTTAAATGTTAAACGGCAAGTTATGAAAGGCTTATACGCGAGAAATCAAAACACGCTTTGATGTGCTTCTAACAGGAAGACCTTTAATTTCAAGTTTAATATGCATAAACAGGCTCTTGCAAAAGTACTTAACTGCCTTTAATCATATTTTCAAGTTTCTTATTTAATGGAAAAAGTTGAGAAAATGGCAAATATAGCATTTCCAATCATACCGTCAGTTTACATATTTTTGATCATCAATAACTGAAATTTATCAAGACGATGTATCGAAGTTCTAATAAGAAATTTATCACGATACATGATAATCTCTACGATAAATGCCCAACCCTATTGAAGTCGTGTAAATACTTCTGTTTAGTAAAAAAAAAAAAAAAAAACAACAAAAAACTAAACGCCTGCAGCAGGTTGCTCTGTTTTCCTGAGTTCCTGCAGATAACTCTACAATGTCATGTTGTTTGCAGCTCTTCACTCCAGCAGCCCACAGCGTACCGGCCCCGCCTGCTGCTGGCAGGGGCCCAGGGTTCTGGACAAAGCTCCCACTTGGCCCCTGCCTTGCTCCACCACCTGGACAAGCTACCAGTGCACCGCCTGGACTTGCCCACCTTGTACTCCGTCAGCGCCAAGACGCCGGAGGAGTCCTGTGCTCAGGTAAAAAATAAAAAACAATCTCAACCTGGAAAATAGGTTTTTTTTTTTTTTTTTTTTTATGTTTGTGACTTTTACCCCGCAAGCGTGTCAGATTTTTTTTTTTGGTTTGCGCC